TCGACATACGACGAGTACTTCGTATGCCAGCGTCTGCCATCCTTGATCCATCAGTTCCAGGTCAGCTATCTGATGGTCGACAGACGTTCAGTGTCAGTTCCTCATCAGTCGTGGCGTCTAGCTTCTCCTAAACCTTTGAGTAAATTGAGCATAACTTCTGCGTAAATTATCAAGAACTTCTCTCCAACTCATATCAGCGTATCTGACGTGTTCCAGACGAGCGCTGAACGTGTTTCTAACTTCCAGCTACTGTATAATGGCGTATTGGCAGCGTTTTGGTATAAAGGAGGTTCACAGGAGGAAACCGTCAGTTCTGCTCCAGACTTCATCCCCATCATAGGGTGAGCCAGAAGGTGAGTGATGGATCCTCCCTGCGTTCATGCCCACCACCAACACACTTCCTAGCAGACATGATGCTCAATCTGCTGACACCAGAAACCTTCTTTCTTTATTTTTCTTTTTCCTTCTTATTTATTATTTTATTTTGGTGGGCGGTAAACAGCAGCTAGGTTAATACCAGGATCAATAACATCTTTTTCTGCAGACCGGGTGCCTCCGGGCGCATCGCTGTGGTTCAGGAGAGAAGCTTTAACTGATGCTTCGTAATGCCCATGAAATGATGCTTGTGCATCTCATTTACTGCTATGAAACCAGAAACACAAATCCTCTCACTGCAGCTATGCTCTCTGTTGTGCATCTTTTGTTCCATTGCAATTTAATTTTGACAAGAAGAAAACTCTACACTGCAAAAGAATTGAAATTTAAATAGGTAATTTCTTCTTGAATTGAAGAAAAACAATTGCATCGTCTCTTTTCAAGTGCATTTTATCTAATTATCTTATTTTGAGAGTAAAAATACTCATTCCTTTGGCAGATCATCTTATTTACCTCCTCAAATTAAGGGTAAACACAGTTTAAGATTTTTTTTTTTTACTTACTTCTTCATCATTTTTGCCCTGTAGTCAACAACATTTCTTTAACTAATAAAGAAAAGCCACAGATCTGAGCAGGAGGACTCTGTTCTGCCTGCTGTCATTTTGCAGCACCTTCACCCATTGTTGACAATGATCCTGCACCTTGTTTATTAGGAATTATAATTTTTTATCTTTTTATGTAGAAGTTACTACATGAACCTTTTCAGTGCTGTGGCTTCCAGCTGACAGCGTTATTTATGTATTTGATCCATTTCTTACCTGCAGTAAAGAGAAAATCCACACTCTCCTGAACTTAAAGCAGCGCAGAGAGGATCGGGACACCAGCACACCGACCTGATACAGGGTCTGGTACCTGGGAGCACGGAGATATAATGAACAAGGAGAACCTTCAACCTGAAGACACTGCAAGGATAACATATTATTTTATTCTTATATATAAGAATATTCTTATCCCTTGTTTTGAGCAGGTGAGTAATACAGTTTACCAACGATAAAATGATTTATACGGAGCCCCAGAACTGACATGGGAGGAAAAAGAGATACAGCGTGCGCACAAAATATTTGTTCCGTATTATTTGGTGGCGCAGTGGTTAGTGTAGACCATCGGCGTCGCCAGACCCCATTTACTGGGGCATGTGCCCCAGTATAAATGAGCTGTGCCCCAGTATAAATCTCATGAATATTTGCAACAGTATTACATTTTTTTAATNTGTAAATTGGGGTTTCTGGTCATGTTAAAAGTTCTTAGACATATCTGAGCCCAGATGTTTTGTTCAAAGCTGACTGATAAATCCTCCTCCCATTTAGTAATAGGAAGAGATATTGGATCATCCAGTTTAGTCAGTGTCCTGTATAACTTAGACAGTAGTTTGGGGGGGGTTAACTCTAGAAACTCTGATATTTTAGTTGATATTTTATCTTTATATAATCTTAAAGATTATATAAAGAAGTACATGTCTGTTAATGCTTTAGTATTTTTCTATATGCATGAATGATTGCATACTTTTATGCTGTGTCTGAGCATTAGCCTTTAAAAAGGTTTGAGTTGCTTTTTTCCATCAATATAACATACAGTGTTTCAGCACATTGACAGCATGTAATAAAGAATTACATCGACATTTCACAGTTAACTACAGGTCCTTCTCTAAATATTAGCATATTTTGATAAAGTTCATTATTTTCCATAATGTAATGATAAAACTTGAACATTCATATATTTTATATTCATTGCACACTAACTAAAATATTTCAGGTCTTTTATTGTCTTAATACGGATGATTTCGGCATCCAGCTCATGGAAACCCAAGACCCAGACCTGTACTTTCTATTTACTCTACTTTCTAACATTAGACACAGTATCAATGGCTAACTCAGTCAATGTCTTAGAGTCAGTCCAAGATAGCCAGACTAATGTTACGCTACATTCCATACTATAGGATCCTTCAGCGCATAGATGGATTTATTGGTTAGTTCATCCACTGACTGTGAAATTACCTGTAAAATGACTTCCCACAGCCAGAAAACCGCTTGTTTTAGCCACCAAATGCGACACAAAGGCATTTTTACTGTGGGAGTGGAGAGTACCAATATGGCAGCCAGTGACTTCACTTTTTTCAGGCTATCAACAGTGAATAAAAAGAGATAAGTGGTAAAGGAAAGTAAGGGTGCCCCTTAGTGGCCAGGAAGAGTTCACTTGCAGTTATTGCCTGTAAATATCGCCTCTCTTTTCATCACAATCACTAAGCCAACCCTCAAAATGTAAATGTATATTAAACATAAAACATCAGTCATTATTCTTTTGATTATTGTTTCAGAGAAAAATAGCAGAAAAAGATTTTTTTCATCTCTTAGCTGTCACCCTAAAAATGCCCAAAACACCTAAAAAGGGCAAATCTAATGAAATGCTGTTATTGAACCATTTGAAGACCCTGATGGCTTTCTAAAGGTCACACTTTAACTTTTTCAACTACACAGTCCAGTTACTTTTTACCAGTTTTTAGTTACTGGTGCTTAGAAGTGATAAATATTTTCCTTCAGGACACCGATGTTCTCCTGACAGTTAAGGGATTAACTGAAGGTCCAGTTTACAGGAACCAGAGTTCTCCTTAATATCTGCTGTTGGCCTCCTGATGATCCCGAGTAATAAAACCAGTTTTTATAAAGCATCTTCAAATAAAGTGCTTCAGTTAACAGAAGATAAAAACATAGTGCAATATAGAAAAAAATATTGGTAAAATAACATAAGAAAGACAGCCCAGAGAAACAACAACACTCTGGACATAGAATTAAGATGCAGCTGATGCATCTGTTGTGAATGAATGAATG